TCTAAACTCACATTCAGGACCATCTGACTGCTTAGCTTGTCCTGTATTATCTTCACAGGTTTAAAGTGCTGAGTTATAGCTTGCATGTCTTTTTTTAGGCGCTGCGGTCCAGTACCCTGATGCCTGTAACGCTGCAGAGAACCAGCAGATTACGCATCCGGATGTCTCTGCACACAAGCCTGCAGAGTTCAGTGGAACATTTAACTCCGGACCGCAGCCGGTAGACATCTGCAGCCTGCAGTTCACCGTGAAGACGGAGAAGGAGGAGGACCAGCACCCCTTCAGACAGGACGGATGTCAGCACCGAGTGGGGAAGCAGACTCCCACTGCTGCCGACTATCCCGCCGACGAACAGGAAAACCAGCTCTGGTCTTCCATCATTGAAGGGAATGAGATCGATGCGGGTTTTCCTGACTTCTCCAGTGTTGTAGAAGAGTATTCTAACTCATTTTCTGAGCATTCGGATGCAACAAACATGGCTGCCAACACTAGGAAGTCCCCCGTCGTTAGGGAAGAGTGCAACGGGATTTACGGCGCTGAGTACCAGAAGGACATGCAGCTGTCGCATTTCCAGGCCAGAGCGCAGGCGGCTCTGCAGCAGCAGGACAAACAGAAGGAGCAGATGCTTCTGCAGAGGAGCAGCTCACATGCAGAGGACGCAGAGAGGGCGGCAGGAACCCACGACGGGCCGAATGTAACGCAGCAGGCTAACACCTTCACAACAAACCGCTTCTACCCTCCCACCCCTCACAAACCGCTCACCCCCGCTTCCAGGGCCTACACCTGCTCCCAGTGCGGCAAGTCCTTCAGCCGCCTGCACCAGTTCAAGCTGCACCAGCAGAGTCACAAGAGGAAGCGAGCGTTCTGGTGCGGCGTGTGCGGGAAAAGCTTTCAGTGCTCCTCTCACCTCAGCATTCACCACCGGACGCACACGGGGGAAAAGCCGTACGGCTGCGGACAGTGCGGGAAGAGGTTCACGCAGCAGAGCAGCCTGAGGGTCCACCAGCGCACGCACAGCGGAGAGCGACCCTACAGCTGCTCGCAGTGCGGGAAAACCTTTATCCTGATGCACCATTTGAAGCGACACAGAGTCATTCACACATACAGCTGAGAGGGAGGCAGCGCCTTCAAACCAAAAAGACCAACGACTCGCTCTGATTCCCACCTGTGGAAATGAGTTTCCTTCAGGATGCATGTTTTAACTATGCAGAATCCATCTGGAATGGATTGGAAGTTTTCTGCTCCTTGTTTCACGGATGAATGAGCTGTGTGACATTTTTAAAGCTAGAAATCCCAAAAAAACAAAAGTGGGAGCATAAACCACCCTCACCCTCTGCCCATCCATGTTTTTTTAACCACTACAGAGAATCTAGAATGTGTTACGCCCTTCTGTTCAAAAAATCAGGTTGCTTTGAGGTAAAATAATGAGATCATTTCAATCTTTTTCTACATTTCAGGCGAAATAAATAAAATTAGATTGTAACAATCTTCTTGGGGGGGATAGGGAAAAATGGGCTAAGTATTATTTCACAAACATCTTTTATGTAGTTTAAACATTTTGTTTTCTCTGGCTGTAGACTTCCAGACTCATTTCCTTCATGGTTCTGATAATGATAATGTCTCTTATCTGAGGTTCTTTCTTAAAGTTTCCTCCATATTGACAAAAAAATAAATTAATCAGTGTGAAGAAGGAATCCCACACTATCATACTGCCACTACCATGTTTTACCATGGGGTACTGAGGTGTTTTTCAGTGGTGCAGCCTTATGTTTGAGCATAAATCACTCTCCCACAGTCACATTCATAACTAAGAATATTATTGGTTCACTGAGTGAGACGCATCATACAGAATAATTACATTCAGACTGCTTTAATTTTATTCATTTTGAAGTTTTTCCACTTGCAGCTTACAAAACAACGTTTATCTTTAATGTCACATCAGAACAATAAAAAATGCGGAATGTGGTCTTCATGCAAAATATGTTTAATACTTCCTAAATGTTTTTATTTTTTTAATACACTTTTCACCTGAAACAAGAGCTCTGTTCCTGACTGATACCTTTAAATATTAGTGACTCGTATGACGTTACATTACTTTCCATAAACGTTATTTTCATTTTTTTTTTGTTAATAACAGATTTTCTGTGTTTCTTAGGTAAATTTTCCATGATATTCTGACTGTTCATCATGTTATTTTATTTTTACTCGCCCCTGTATGTGCCCAGACCCCGATCATTACCTCTAAATGCTTTCATTCTGTCCTGTAGAGATGAACTCTGTATCGTTAGGATTTTAATTGACCCTTTCTTCCAAATCATTCCTGTAACACGCTGCCTTTCTGTTTAGATCCCCCTGAAGCATCTCAGGGTTTCATGTTTTAATGCCAGCATCTTGTCAGCCTCTTTTTCCCTTTGTTTCACATTAAACAGACCTTAAAACCAACTTGTCTTTGCCTTAATGTAAGGAACAGTTGTTCTAATCCTGATTATTTAGGTCCAGGTCCTTATAGACATAACATTGATATTCTCAGTTTAACAGAAAATGTTCATATATATATATATATATATATATATATATATATATATATATATATATATATATATATATTATGATAGATTTATGAGGTATTTGCTTTGGCTGAAATCAAAGCACTGAAGCATTACCATGTAGGAGCAGCAGAGGGCGCAGTGCTCCTTCTCCAGCATTTAAGCAGTAGAGGGACCTTAGTGGGTATTTGAGCTACTTTTATCTCATTATTGTCCTGAACCAGTCATCCAGCTCAGGCCTCACAAGTCAATGTGACATGTTAGAGACCAGTATTCAATAAACTGACAGGTTTGACTTTAATCTGAATGTTTAAATCTTTTCAGAACAGATTCCACGTATCATTAAACAACTTGATGGCAAAGTTTAATTTGATCAGTTTGTTGATTATAAATCAAACTCCTCCTTCTATCCTGAACAGGTTATTCAGCTTCTCCCTAGAACACCATGTTCTGGTCACTTGTTCCTGTTTTTTGCTGAAATCATCTCATGAGGTTTTAAATAAATGAAGCTGCAGTCATCATAGTGTGAACTTTTTACAGCAGAGCACAGAATCAGGACTCCTAAAACTGTCCAGTAAAACTCTTGTAAATGAATTTTTATTTGCTTTTTGTCAACATTTTTTCCCAAATTAATTATTTATATTTATTATAAAATAACCGATGAAAACACAGATGATAAAAAAAGTAGAAATAAAAAAAACCTCCTCCTTATACAAACAGAAATCTTCTGTGAATTCTAACCGATTTTTTTGTTAAATTCCTACTGCTTTTATTTATTTTTAAATTATTTTATTTCGATTTTTTTTATTATTTTTTTTATTTCAATCATTAAACAAATAAATCCTACTGCTGAAGATCTAAAATCACTAAAAGATAAGTACATAAAATAACCTGTCTGACAACACGAAGTAGGCTGTAACATCTAAAAACAAAACAACACATAAAGCATCAAACTAAACCAACTCAGCAATGGATAAAAGAGCCCTTTACATCAATCAGATGATTACTGAACCATGTCTGAAGCTTCTGCTCACTCATAACCTACAGCTGGAGAAAACAGTGGTGGTGACCCCAGGCGGACAAGATACACCTCAGATAGAAGGTCCGGAAAAACTCAGGTCTGTTCAATTAATCAAAATTAAAGGACAGAGACAAAAAGAGAGAAAAAAAACACTTTAAACTGGGGGTGGCCTCAGATTCCAGCTCTAAAAACCTACAACCTGCAGCAATAGAGTTGATTCCTTCCCTCTATCATCTCAACCCCGACTCCCATGCAGGGGACCAAAACATCTCGCCTGGTCAGCCAGGCCAACAATGACCCTAACAAGTTGTTTTTCAAAAGCATAGGCCAGTATTGGGTACAGCAGGCTAACAAATATCTCAACGACTCCCCATTACTAAGGGGCTGATCTGTTCTTCTGGTCCAGTTTGCATGTATTCTAAGCCTTAACAAGGTGGGATACTCTATAAAGCCTGGAACTCAAAGCTAATCCACACATTTTGAATTGAAAAAGGTTCCTGGATGGGAAGTCAAAGGTCTTCAACCTTAGAAAAGAAAGTCAAGTGGATTTTTCTTTTTAACTCTTTTGAAATGACTATGACCTGGATAACTGAGCAATTTTACCAGCAGACAGACAAATAAAAAATACATTTTTTATGCAGCAGAAAAACATTTTGGACATGTTTGAAGCAGTTTAGCTCAAGTTGTTTCAGACTTACAGAGTTTGTAGAGACACGTCCACAAACTAGAAAATCTTCGCTTTCAAATGAGACACATCACAAGCATGTGGAGTGTATAATGTTATTTTACTGATCAATGGTGTTTGATTATGCAATTAATTCGCACACAAGCTATAAAAGGGAGGGAGCTAAGGGGTTCAATCTGATCATTATAATCTCTGATTGACTCAAAAGAGGCCATTGATCTTTAAAAAAAATCCTCATTTTGTCCATATTTAAACCATTTAGCATCAAAGCAATGAACAGTGTTCCTCGACAGGGATTTAAAGGACTAGTTGCCCTTTAAATTCAGCACTGTACTTGCTCATCCGGAATCATAAACATTCCCCACTAATAACCGTCTGACTCCTACAAGCTCACACTTGTGATGTCCCTATTTTAAAAAATGCCACTCTGTTTTTTCTTCATCAGAACGTTTAGTCTTTTCCAGCAGCAGATTTACTTTGAATGATTTGAATGTCTGTTGGTAAAATAAGTAGTTATGGAACATTTACATATCAGCACCTGTGAAGTGTTTAATTGATATTTCCAGGGCTTTGGACTTTATTAGACGGACACCCAATGCTTAGTGTTTTCCCCGGATGTCAGCCTGTCCTTACAGTGTGTACAGCTGCAGCTCACTAAATGAGTACATTTTGTTCAGACACCTGGGGCTCCTCCTTTTAGTTCAGACAGCTCATAAAATTCCCAGGACCTTGTATGGCCACAGGCCCACAGAAAAAACTATGTCATGGAAACTTCTTTGCTTTTGTATAAGAAGTCAGGAGAAACATAACGGAAAACTGAGGTACCCATGCGATAAGGCTGGAGTTTGCAGATAAGGTGACGAGAAACAAACTTAGAGAAGTTCTTTCTTTCAGAGAAACCAATGCCTGCAGTCAGAAAGTTAAGCATTTTAATAGTTCACCAAGCTAAGACTTACTGAAGGTTAGATCCACAACATTTTTTTATTTACAAAACTTTTCCCAAGAGATGCTCAGCATTGGGTTCCTTTGAGCACCTCTGGTGGTTTAAGATGCTTCATAATTCATATTTAATTATATAATTAGATGTTGGGAAATATAAAGAAATATAAATATTATCATGAATGAATTATTCCAGTTGTTGAAATAATTACTTCCACAAGAAATGCTGTGTTAATCCTTCAACCAACTAACTCCTAAAATGTTAATATTGATTTTTATGCATACTTGAAGTTATAAAAATCTTTAAGAACATGTGTTTTCAATGCATAACATCCTTTTTGAGTGAAAGGATTAAATGGTGGACCTTTTACATTGGCCTCACTACTAAATTGGAAACACAAGGACACCTTCTGTTAGAATAAGATAGTTAAATGATTGTAAACAAATAAAAACAGCTGGGTAGGTGGCTGGCCTGCCCACTCAGCGTGGATCATCGTCAGGGAAGTTTAAAAGAACCATCAAAGGTTTCCTCTAGAAAACAGCAGGAATTACAGGGTCTTTTAACAAGACTATAAAAACAAGCTTAAAATGACACCTTAACAGAAAGGCTACTTTTAATGGATTAAGAATGTAAAAACTCAGACATCTATAAATGTTATCAATCTAGGATTATAACTAAGGATGCACATATCCCTTTATCTTCTGCATACAGTAAATGACAATAAAATATCCTAAACTATAAACAATTCATGAGGAAAGTTACTGTGAGGGAAAGGATCAAAGAGTCACAGGAATTATTAGAAAAATAAGTCTTTTTATTTAAACCCAAATGGTTGAATGTAGAAAAAAAAAGCAAAAAAAAAAACAAAACAGCCAAAGGGTAGAGGTCAAAGAAGCTGAATTTAACTCACAAACAACTCTTCAACAGGGGGTTGGCAGACCCTAGAGGGTCCGCAGAGGTACTGCATGGGGGTCGCAAAAGTTTTGGTTGATTACACACTTTTTTTTTTTATATCCCCCCTGCAATTTTTCCCGTTAACTGAAATGTCTTTAAATCCACATTAACATGAATTCAACACACCGTAATAAACAGATAAATGAAGGCAGAAGATGTCTTTCAGTGATCAATGCACACATTCAGCGACACACAGGAGCTCTTTCAAGCTGGGCACCGTTTCATTCACAACACCTGTCCCATCAACCAGGAACCACAATCAGAAATACTTTAATAATCCCAGGGAGACATTACTTTCGTTACATTACTCCACCTGTAATAGAGTGACTATAGGACCAGATTGATAGAACACTATTTCATACAATTTATATAATTAGGGGGTCCCTGCTCCATCTCTCAGTTTGGGGGTCTTTGGCCTGGAAAACGTTGAAGATCCCTGGACTAAGTGATATTTGGAGGTAATGGAGAAAAGGGGCTCAGTCTTAAAGTGTTCTTTAAAAAAGTTTTATATGACTTGGCCTGGAAAACGTTGAAGATCCCTGATCTAAAGAAACAACAGGGCATTTTTACACTGACTGATCAGACTATCACGGCACTGTAGGGGTAACCAAACAATATAATCTAAACTATTCAATACGGTTAAGTTTGTTAAACTAAGCTACATAAAGGGAAAAAAACATCAAACCACATTAAACTTTAAAAATAAATCATAAGTTGAATACAAAAAGCTATTTTTACTAAAAATAAATGCTAATTCCCCCTCTCCAGCAGGACTGTTGGTGGAGTCCAAGAAGCCTCCTTCAGATGCTCTGAGCTGCCATGTTTGTCAGGGCAAACTCCCAGAGAGCATGGAGGAGGAGACTGGCAGACCAAACAAGAGTTAATAATAATCACAAACCAAAGATGAGAATTGAGTGGATAAAAATACATAAATGAACTAAAGGAACATCCTCGCAGGTAGAATAAATGCACTTAAGAAGTAATTCATGTATGCTTTGCATCTACTTAAGCATATTTAGCACAATAGTTTCATGTTAGCAGGATAGGACATGAAACTATTGTGTTAAAGTAACTAATATGCCTAAGTAGATGCAAAGATACATGAATTATTTTTTCCTGTGTATTTAAACAGAGAGTGTTACTGAGGTTTGATGTGAGCTGAGGTGTGACCATGGTAACAAGCAACCCCCCATAAACTCCAGCTAGAAAAGTATAATATATTTTCCTCTTACTGTTTATTTAACAACGTTTGGAGAAGATCTACACCTTGTGTGATTAAGAAAAAAAAAAAAAGGGAAGTTGATCGTAGAATAAATCAACATTGTCATGCGAAAATATTTGGCCCTCTTGAACTTTTCAAACTTTTACCACATTTCAGGCTTCAAACATGAGGATATAAAATCCAAATTTTTTGTGAATAATCAACAACAAGTGGAACACAATCGTGAAGTGGAACAAAATGTATTGTATATTTTCAACTTTTTTAACAAATAAAAAACTAAAGAGTGGGCAGTGCAAAATTACCCGGCCTCTTTATCTTTGAATGATCCATTGTTGACCAAAATGACTGATGATGATAAATAGAGTCCACCTGTGAGTAATCAAGTCTCCGTATAAATATACCTGCTCTGTGATCATCTCAGGTCTGCTTAAAGCACAGAGAGCATCATGAGGAACTAGGAACACCAGGCAGGTCCAACACACTGTTGGGGAGAAGTTTAGAGTCGTATTTGGATACAAAAATATTTGCCATGCTTAAAAACATCCAACGGAGCACTGTGAAAGTGATAAATATATAAATGGAAGGACTATCAGACCACTGCAAACCTACCAGACCCTCTAAACTTTCAGCTTAAAGAGAAGACTGATCAGAGATCCGTGTTCACTCTGGATGAACTGCAGAGATCTACAGCTGAGGGGGGAGACTCTGCCCATTGGACAAGAAAGACATTTCTTGAAAATGTCCATAAAAAGTCTCATTTAAAGTTTGCCTCAAGTCACCGGAGAGACACATGGAAGAAGATGCTCTATGACAAACAACCCTGTGGATGTGTGCGATAAAGCTCTCCTTCCTTCTCTCCTTACCTTAAGACTGTTTAGACTGTAACTGCTTATTTTTGCACTTTAAACGAGACAACAGTTCACTTCCTCTAGAAACACCTTTTCAATGTGACTATATTCAGTCTCATACTCCTGATAGTTTTCCTCTATGCATATAGATGTATGGTTTGTTTAACGTCTGCAGCTTTAAATTAATATAATTTATATTTTTTTTTTGATAATTCTAGTCTAACTTCCTTTTCAATCTGAAAAACTCACACGGAAAGAAAAGACAATTAAAAGATATTTATTAATTACTTTACTCTTTGGCGCTCAGACCTCAAACATAGCGCTGAATTTTGATTGATATGCATGACCAGGAGTAAAGAAGAGGGCTGTTCCCCCCCCAGGCCTGAAACTGGTGGTGGAGTGGAGATAGATGAAGTTGGTCAGTCTGTAGACTGCTGGTTAGCGAGACAGTCTGCTGAGCTTAATGGGGGGGATCCAGTGGACTGCCTTAGCTGATACTAGAGCTTCACTCAGGGACCTTGAAGATGGAAGTCCAGCTGGATAACACAGGTTGAGAGAACCTGTCCATGATCAGCAAGCATGAAGCGACAGTGGAGAGGAAAAACTTCCCTTTGGGAAGAAACCTCTGGCAGAAACAGACTCAACATGACGGTCGTCTGCTGGACCGGTTGATATGAGACGTAGAATACAGTAAGAGTCCAGGAGGAATGAAACTGATGAAGTTTTAGCTACAATGGTTGAGGAGGGGCTGGAGGTGGGTTGAAATGTGTTCATCTTGATGAAGTCACACAGCGTAACCACACTAGGTAGCAGACGAGTTGTGGATCGGAGGCCTTTTAAGATGAACTTGGATGCTGATTGGCTTTCATGGAAGCATGGTTCAAAGCTGATTGGCTGTGTCGTAGGCGGATGAAGGCGAGTAATCAGTTTATTCAGTTGAACTTCCGCCTATACTCCATTTGTTCTAAATCCAGTATTCACAAACAGTACACTGGGTGTAAAAAAGGAGGCAGAGGCTCAATGAGCACTCAGGGAAAGTCTCAGACAATAGAAAATGGAAGAGAAGAAACTGGAGGAGCCGTCATAGGAGCAAAAACTACTGACTAAACCAGATTGGGAGTGAATCAGTGAGAGGTGGCATGAAGCAACCATTTTATAAATATAGGGGCCTTTGGGGAAGGCCCATGGATGCCAACATGCTTATATGTGCTTTTCTGTGGCATTATTTCTGTTTGGTGTATTGAGTATTTCATCTTAACTAATAAAAAATACAACAAATATTAATGTTTACTGCGATGGATTGTGACCTGTCTAGGGTTTACCCCGCCTCTCACCCGCAGTCAGCTGGAGATAGGAACCAGCACCCGTCAGGACCCCAGAAGAGACAGAAAATGGATGGATGGATTCAAGTAAAAAAAAAAAAATTGTTTTCTTGTAGTAAACTATCAAGAATCTAATTTGATGTTTTACAAAATATATGTTATCTAACATCTGTTACAGTGACACAGGTAAATAGCTTTATAACTATGGATCTAGGGCTTCTTAAGTAATATCTAGCGATCAGGAGGCCATTTTTGGTTCATAGAATAATTCAGTGTGTAAGTAGGAGGATCATGTTTTATATGAAGAGGGATATGGCTCAGTAAGATATGTAGTAAAACAAGAAGTGAAAGAAACACAATTAAACCAGACCCATTTCTCTAATTCAATTGTTTTTTTGAACAAAGTGGCCCTTTTAATTTGTCAGATTCATTGTCAGTGTATCAACCTCCCTAAACCACTCAGGGTTCTAGTTCTAGCCTTCTCTGTTCACTCAGAACTAGAACCAAACATGGAGCAGCATTCAGTTCCTATGCTCCCCTTATCTGGAACAATCTCCCAGCAGAATGTGCTGAATCCGGAGTTCTTTAAAGTCAAACCCATTTGTTTAGAGCTTACTTTGACTGTTGAAATTAAACTGTTAACTGGGGTATTATTAGTTTTAGGTTGTGATCCAAAGGTTTTATTTATTTTACTACCTGCTTGCAAAGCACTTTGAATTATCAATGTACTGTATTGTTCTATACAAATAAACTTGCCTAAAATTAAAAACTAGGACAAAAAATATTCTTGTTCTTTGACAGAGTAATGATTTTGCAATTTCTGCAATTATTTTTGATTATAAGACACCTAGTCTGTTGTGGTAAAGGCATTTGAAGAGAGTGGATTTTTCAGAGGAATCAACTAATAAATCAAAACATGCTTAAACTGACAATATAAGATGAAAACCATGTCAATCTGCAACCCCAAATGACTAGAATGATACAGAATTCAATTAATCATCCCAATACAAGAACAAAATCTGAATAGTGAGGCATAGAAACAAATTGATTCCAGGTCGTTTATTAAAAAGTTGAAGCCTTGTTGAGTTCTCAATAAAATCCAAACAAAATAAAACCGGCAAATATTCCTCATGTTGCTCAACATAAAAGGAAATTTAAATCCCCATTACAAACATCAGCAGCCACCCTGTGCAGAGCAGCTTCCCTTCTTAAAGTAAAAATCTCCAAATAACCCTAAACACCACATAAATACATCACATAAAAATATTTAACCCCTCACTGTTCCAGCTGTTAACATCCCATGCAGACGAGTTGGTCCGCTTTATTAAGAAGTGTTGTTTCATACTGATATGAGGGAATGTTAGAGCGTCGCCAATAAATAATAAAATAAAGTTAGAAAAATACTAAATTAGTCCAGAGCACAGAGCAGCACAGCGGGAATCTGCTCCAAATAAACTCTATAACTCCGAAAGGAAGCGGATAAATAGAGGAGTGTTTGAAGTAGCTTAGCTTGTGTGGCTGACGATCACAAACGTAACAGTCAGGTTTTCTATAACTGGCATCGTGTTTTAAAACTCTTAGCAGAACGGTGAGGTTTTATAAATTGTCCTTAAGTGAGGCAGAGATCAGCAGCTGATCTGGAATCAGTCAGTCCTGGATGTTTTAGAAGCTCCTCTGTTTCCTCAGACCTGATTTCAGTAGAAGGGATTTTTGCATCATCTGAATCAGGTTTGATGGAGCAGAGATAACACCTAAAACATGCGGCGTTGGGGACTGTTGGCTTAGGAGTTCTTTTTGTCGTTGTTCTCGTCGTTGTCCAGCCGAGCCACCATGGTGGACACCAGAACCTCCATCTGCTTGGACCTCTGCCTGCCGGTCTCCAGGACCTCATCGTGGTTGGCCTTCTCCTGGCTGTCGTAGTCCATCACCGACCGGTTGCTGATCAGTGACATGGCGAAGCAGCGCATCCCAGCGTGGCGGGCAGCAATCACCTCGTGAACGGTGCTCATACCTATAGTGAAGATGAAAACAAAGGAATTCAACCGTTTGTTCTTACAACGCATGGAGTATTTACTGGTATCAATGAATATATCAAGGCTTAAAAAATGTCTGCTTTTAAAACCAGGGTTCCTACAGCAGAAGGCAGGTTAAATTCAAGACTTTTTAAGACTTTTTAATGCCACTTGAAATAAAAATTTAAGACCAAATTCATAAAAAACACAAGAAAAACCTGCTCCACTAGCTTAATTCCCATCGTTCCCAGCTTGAATGACTTCTTGCACAAAATCCACTGTGCCTCATGTATGTCCCTTGATTTTAGCCATGGAGAAAACTCTTTGCTGGAGCCATTTTTCGTTACATTTACACTTGCTCATATTTTCCAGACAAAAGTTAATGTTGCATCTCCCAAATGTCCCGGCCGCAACAACGCTTTTATCGGTTCCCCTATTGGGACGGAAGCAATAATGGCGAGCTGTTATTTTTTTTAAATGATAAAAAAATTGTCAATTTTAATGTTTTATTTAGATTACAAAAATAAATCGTAATAAAAATAATCCTATTTATGATGTTTAAAAAATTAAGACCAACGAAATACTAATTTAAAACATTTTAATACCAATTAAGGCCTTAGTTTTATTTTGAAGAATTCAATGCCTTTTAAGATTTTTTTAGGACCCGTGGGAACCCTGAAAACTGCTAGAACTTCCCATATCGGCTCTCCCCTGCCCCTCCCCAACTTATTTCTGCACACTGGTAGTTAACCAGCCACAGGACAACTACAAGTTCCATTCCCTTAGAAATAAAGACCAATTGAAGTGTTTAGTGCGTAGAGTAATGTAGCACCATCAACTCCCACCAATTCATGCACACTGATGGTCACATGGCTGGAAAAAAGGCTACATTTCATCTTCACTTAAATAAAAGTAAACATTGGACTTTAAATGGATTTTTAGTTGAAAAAACACATTTATGTAAAAAATCTAATGGTGCCTTCTTGCAGGCATGAAGAATAGTATACTGCATTCTTTATTTTTTGTTTTAGATTATAGATTTCGCTGCAGCGTAAACACTGTTCTTACTTTATAAAGAGTATAACAGCAAAAAAAAGGGATAATCTGGCTAATAAGCAGATTCACAGCCTGTTTGAATCTAAATGCAGTTTTTTACTCATGCTGCCTTTTTTCAATTTTAACATTAAGTCTGTTTACTAACCTGATTATGTTACAGGAGGTCCAAATGCAGTTAAATTGGCTCCAGAAAGAAAAATAATATTACAGCCCCAACATGCTTTTGTATATTGGGCGCACTAATATTGCAATAAACACAAGTGTTTATTATTCTCACAGTAGCTACTTTCTCAACTGCTCAAATCTATAACACTGACAGTCGGTCATCATCCTAGATTACTTTCTATTTCTAGTCCTGTGAGTAATTTCCCTCCTCCCTCTTATTGTTGATGTCAGATTGTGTTTATATGTCTGGTTATTCTGCCAATGCCAGTAACCCTCCCCTGTCCTCCACAGCTACTAAGAGGAGAAATTAAATAATCAACTTTTTTTTTTTACCCATAATGGAAGGAAATTAACAGATTTTAAGAGGGTTTAAAATGAAGAAACCAATAAATGCAGGATATGGTCTCACTTTAAGGCACAACAGCATCTGTTTGGCGTCATAGGCTCATTGAGTGGAGAGGGACCCGGCTTAATATTGAGAAAATATATTTTTCACAGAAATAAACTGTAGTGAGCTTATCAAAATATTAAGAGTTATTGCTTCCAATACAGCATTATGCTGCTAAAAGTACACATATGCAATAAATTCTCCTACAAGCCGTTTTACTTCCTATAGACGCACATTAACTCTTCCGTATGCACATGTTTAACATGTTAAATGTATAAATAGAGAACCACGGGGCCCCAAGATATCACACATGAGTGCTTGTTCCCTCTCTGCTTTCGTGTGCAGCCTCCCTCCGCATCGCGTGTGGACATGTTTCTCTGCGCTCCAGTCAACTTTTGCAACTTTGAAGGCGTTAGCCACCAGACAAAGCAACCCGCCTGTGATTGGCTACTTTTCAGGAATTCCCGCCTCTTAGGGTTGTACTCTTCTTCCTACTAGCAAAGCAGCTTCAGACTAACCGCTTCTCTTTAAGAATTGGAAGTTGGTAAGCAAAGTCATCTTTAGATATACCACAGTCTGGATGAATACTGGATTCTGATTGGCTGTAGGGTGTCCTTTAAAAAGGGTTATAGGACATCTATAAAAAAAGTTCAGGTTAAATAGTCAAACTAGTGGTTCCTAGAATTTCTAAAAGCAGAATGGGAGGCAGATCTTTTAGTTATCAGGCTCCTCTCCTGTGGAACCAACTACCAGTTTTAGTCCGTGAGGCAGACATCCTGTCTACTTTTAAGACTAGGTTAAAACTTTCCTTTTTGATAAAGCTTGTAGTTAGAGTGGCTCAGGTTATCCTGAGCTATCTCTATAGTTATGCTGCTATAGGCTTAGACTTCTGGAGGACATAGGGACCCCCATTTCATCATTCTGCTTCATTCTCTCTCTATTCTCCTATTCTGTAGAACTTGTTAGTTAAATCTCTAACGTTTCTGCTTTTTCTCATAGTAGCTTAATCTGGTCTGTTCCTGTTTGGATGTGACTCCATCCTGAAGAGAAATACCAGCTGTGCTGCTGCCATCAACACTTTTTTTTATATGTTGGAGCTTGGCTGGTTTTTCAGTATAGTCCTGTTTCTCTGAGTGTGACTAACTATATGTGTTCTTTTTATATACTTTGACATGGTAGCTGGCTCGGACCTTGTCTGCCTGGCTGTGTGTTGCCCGGATGGGACCGCCTGTGTAGCTGGTTGACAGTTGCCTTTTGTATCTGTGTGTGGAGGTTCCTCCATCTTTTCTTCAGTGTTAGTATTTATTTAAAGGTCTTCACACAGTACATTTATAATTTCACTTTTGTGGTGTTTTTTGCATTAGGTTGTTTACTATTATGGGTGCACACATTTAGTAAACACCTTTTGTTTATTTGAATTAAATTAATTACTTTTCTTTGCTGAGTTGAAGGACTGGCTGAGTGGAGAGGACTGGTTGGAAGGCAAACCAGGAAGTGGGACATACCATCAGGCTGCTGGAAGCAGGGGACTGGATATTAGAGTCTGCTTCTCTCTCTCTCCACTTATGGCATAATTGTTAAAGCATCTTTGGTGTTATGTTGTTTTCTTTTGATAGTTGTGTTGTAGTCAAAGGTGTTAGTTTAAATTAGTTATTTATGTTTATGCATTGTTTGTCTCTGTCTCATCTCCCACCCCTCCTCGTTTGTGTAGGCTAGCCTTTGTGTATAAATTCCCCTGTGTGTTCATTGTGGTTTGTTATCCTGAGTTAGGTATGCCTTAGTTGATTTCATTTGGGCTCATTTTGTTATATTTTTTTGAGATTTGATGTAAGCCCTTCTTTTGTGAAGATTATTTTTGGAAAATAAATAGAGAATACCTTTTATATGCCTTTGTCCTTGTGCCTTACTGGACGGACCACCACACTGTGCCTATTTTTTGTATCTCTGCTTCTGTCTCCTTGAACCCCAGTCGGCTTTAGCAGAGGCCACTCACACTGAGCCTGGTTCTGCTGGAGGTTTCTTCCTGTTAAAAGGGAATTTTTCCTCTCCACTGTCGCTACAAGCATGCTTAGTGTGAGGGATTGCATTCGAGTCAATGAGTCAATTCAAACTGGCTGGTTTTCCTTAGATAGAAAACTTTGAATCAATCTGACTGGATGATCTGGTGAACTGTAAAGTTCCTTGAGATGACGTGTGTTGTGAATTGGCGCTATAGAAATAAACTGAATTTAAATAGAAGGATAGTTTCTGCTAGCCCAAACATTAGCTTGAAACGGAAAGACAGTTTACGCTGTTACCTTGGCAACGCATCACAACTCAGGATGCAGGACAAGTAGCCACAGGCGGGTTGCTTGCAACCCACCTGAGCAACAATAAACAGCCATGCAGTTGTTTTCTTTTATCAATTCTATTTTCCAAAAACTGTGTTTATACCAAGAAAAATAATCAATATATCTCTGAAGGTCCTGACATCTATAGCTCTGCTGTATCGTAGAGTTAAGTTAGTGTGTGATGCAGCTATTTACCAACAGCGTCCGCTCCCAAAAGATGCAGCATACGGCACTCAGCGATGGTTTCAAAGGATGGCCCTCCAAGGACGCAGTACACCCCCTCTCTGAGGAAGTCGCTATAGCCGAGCTCTGTGGCCACATCGTGCGCCAGCTGCCGCAGCTCTCGGTTGTAGGCGTCCGACATGCATGGAAAACGAACACCAAACCTTCAGGCGAGAGGAAACAGTTGTCAGCTAGTGGTTTAAGGTAACCAAACTGTGACTCAATGCTGGAATCTTCCCAGAAGCAAATGCAGGAGTTTTTGATATTTGTCAACCTTCCAGCAAAACAAAAGCAGCAACCAATATAGCATACTAATAACAAACAGTGTAGTACTGTATAAAACCTAAAACTCAATGCCATTTTCTGACATTTTGAATTGAAAAAGCTTCCTGGATGGGAATCGAAACGTCTTCAAACTTGGAAACTAAGTCCTGTCGATTGTTTTTAATTTTCTTTTTTTGGTATAACTATGAGCTGGATGACTGAGAACCTTTACCAGCACTAATATAGCATACTCTCCAATAGGGTATGCAATTACATTTGTTTTTTTTTTTTTTATTGCCCTTGATGGATTGTTGATGGTTAACTTTATTATCAGCATAGGATGGTAAATTTGGTAGCTATAATGCCCTATTTCTATTTCATGTAACAATGACATATAATGTAGTTTTTGATTAAATTGCAGGGGTATAAAACCATATAAAAATGAGTTAATGTTATAGTAAAAATCTTTTACATTGCCAATATAACTACATGTAACTACTTGTTATTACTTGGTAGTAACATTTTACTCTAAATTTTAATCTTAGAATATTTTTTTTTAGTGCAAACTCTATGTAAATCACTACATTTCAAAATAAAAGATTTTTTTAGCAATATTTGTGTAGGAAACTGAAAAGAAAGGCTGAAAACAACAAAGAATCCCATGTAGGAGGAACGGGCTGGAGTAACTGAGCCCCTTGTTGAGTGACAATGAAGTTATTGCATTCTTGAGACATTCCGGGGATTAGTAGGCAGCTATAAATATGCTGTAATGCTTCATCAAAATAAAAGCTGACCATCTGAAATGAATGACCTACAGCCAGTCTTTTTTAAATATGAATTTAGATCTGAAATAAACCAAATCACAAAACTGCCTTCAAAGTGAACCACATTGATGGTGCGCCATGAAACAAACACATCATTAACTTTAATCTCTGCTCCCTTTTTTGGAAGCACTTATCACCCCAACAACAAAAATAAAAACAGTACAAATCCAACATTTTTTAGACAGTAACTAAGCCACGTTTTAAAATAAAACTGGATTTAATTGCAAACAAAAATATTTCTCAGTATCAGCTTGCTTCCAGCTACCTTTCATCGTTGGGGCCAGTGAGCGGATTGACTCCTGCAAAGCCGGGCATGTTGATGTGATCCTTGATGACCATGAAGTCTCCCACTTTGTAGTCCTGGTTGAGGCCCCCTGCAGCGTTGGTCATGATGATCGTTTTGACACCCATCAACTTGAAGACGCGCATGGGCAATGTGATCTGCATCAAAATTAATAATAAAAATCTGCAAAAGAAACTCCTAAAATGCTATTTCTAATTATTAAATCTTATTAGAACAGATTAAAAAAATCTGGGATTAGTATAAAAACCAACTCAACACTTCAGAGGAATTACTTCCTGTAGATTAAGGATGTAAAGTTGGTGCTGTTGTCGTTGTTAGGGCATTTCAGGCTGAGAAATTGATCTACATAAAGTTACATTTCACCTGCTTTAGCAGTGAAAAGAAATGCTTCTTGGTTCAGTCATGTTTGTTAATGGTGGGTTCATCTGTGTCATTTCCTCATATTTAGTGAAGTCTAGCTTTATTTCCTGTTTTTTCCAGACAGGAACACTCAGCCAGCTGTCCTGCATGTTTAGCTGAACCATCAGGTGTTCATTCTGGCTCACCTTCTGAATGGGGTGACCTTCATACAGGTGGAACCTGCCCTGCATGCAAACACACGGCTTTCCTTTGAGTGTCCCAAACACCAGCTGGCCAGCATGACCACGCACTGCATCGCACACAAACAAACACACGTGATGTTAGACGTCCCTGCTGTGGTATTTCTTTAAACATGCAAATGTCAACAGGTGTTGTTGTTTTTTTGTGTGTTTTTTTTGTTTCCACACTGGTTTCATACCTGTGCTGTGGGGGAAGTTGGGAATGTCAGAGTATTTGAAGACCTGCGGATCCTTCAGCATGTCAGCAAGGGCACTCAGGCCCGATCCGCACACGATTCCCACGGTTGGTCGCACCTGGGTGTGTTTCAGCAGCCAATCAGCTGTGCTTCTGCACTCCTCGTAGCTTCCACTGAGAAGAGGGAGCAAAACAAAGATAAGAAACACAGATAATATGGAAAAAAATGATACAGCAGGGTCATGTGGGGATGTTAAAAAACAGAGGAGAAAAAAACATCCAATTTCACACCCTTTACTGAACCGCAGAATGAACATGCTTGGTCATGCTCCATTTACTCCATAGACAAGTCAAAATAAGGAAACTGCACAGTCACTGCCTGGAAATGAGTCCCTTCTCTGCGGTAGATATTACCGCAGAGATATTTATATAAGCATAGAGGCAGTTATATTGTGCCTGACTTGAATTATTGTGCAAACATTGGCGGAGCGTGATACAATCACAACGTAATAGTGAATCAACACTTTACACAACCATGTCTTTCCTAACAGATGGGAGACAGTGCTTTGCTTCCCAATATACAAAACAAAAGCTCACCACTGTGAGTCATGTTTATTGCATGAACAAACTTAAAGCCCTAATTTAGGGAGACCCACTAACTTTTAACTTGTAAAAAAGGACTAAAAACATTTCTTTTTTAGCAGAACATATGAGTTTTAAAGTCGTAGGGAAGCGGCTGGTCCAACCGTTGCATTTCTGAATTCTCCCAGTGGTGCCCGACTTTATATGAGTGAATAA